CACGATGTCCCAAAATGTACGTGACACGCAAAGTGGATGATTAAGTTTTAAATTAAAATACTATAATGCCAACTATGGCCTCATTATTATTTTTTGTGGGATTTGTCTTTTCAATACTAATTATTTGTGAATTGAGATCATCCACATAAATTTGAACGTCAAAAAAATACTTAAGCGTGTAAAAAATCACCTTTAAACTACTAAAGTGGAGTTAGTAGAATATATATATTTTTTGGAATAGCTACATGTGCAGACACAGCATAGTGCCACAACTAAAATCTAAATGACTATAATTACAAGAGTTTTTTTTATATGTCTAATAAAATCAAGTATTTTGAATATTATAATCGGATTTCATAAAAAGTGTTCGTTTAGGGATAATTAAATTTAATAAACTCGATTATAATGAATTCTTTTTAAATAATGTAATTAATAAGACCGGTTTTGAAAATATTCTGTAGATTTTATTAATAAAATTTGGCGAGCCGAACCTCGAGAACATAACATACTTGAAACATTCAAAAGAGGAAATTAACAATAGATTCCTCATAAGCAACACCGAGAGTATGGAAACGTTATTTATTATGATCATGAAACCCATAAGTATAGATTATAATTACCCAGAACCGGTATGTGAAAAATTTACATACCGGTTGGAAATAAAATACCGAATAAACGCAAAATACGCTACCTACGTATAAAACCGAGGCATTGTTGAGAGTCCAAATACATGAATAATTGCCGTGACGGTAATAGAGAAAAAAAATCCGTGACCATGACCTAAGCCACTGAACATTTTCAGTTGTATAATGTCTACACTCATCTGAATACCATAAACGCGTTTCAGTCAAATGAATCGAAATAACTGTTATGAGATAGGTACAACAGCCGTGCTCTAGACACGGAAATCGATTATACTGTGCACTTTAATATGTACTTCCGCGTTAACGCCGTTAAAGAAATGATCTGTTCTTCGGTCATCCACTTCCATCGGTCCGTACTTGACGAGGAGAAATGCTTAAGACTCACATAGAAACTGTGTACAGTTAAACCGACTATGTATGGTCGCACTTCCGTTTTGGACGTACAGGAATTGATTTTGCAAACATAAATCTAAGAAATAAATTTTCTCGAATACACACAAATATATATATATATATACACACACATGAAATGAGTCGTCACGGCCGGCTATCATAAAGTCGAGTCTAGTCTAAAGTCGTAAACGACATCCAAACCGTTCACAAGGCAACGTTTAACGGTCTCGGTACGCTATAAAAAATAATTTATTCAAATTCGTTACAAAAAAAAAAAAACAGAATTATAATTTATACTTCATCGGTTATTACTTCCATCGAAGATTGTACAATGTACATGGTATTACAATCTTTTTCTCCGACGACAAGTAAATAAAAAAAAAATGTTTACAACTAGTCTAAAGCGTAGGATTACGATGTGTTTGTATAGTTAACAGAGTAGCAGTAGACATCAGAATTGGGTTTAAATACCGTAAGCTGGTAATTTAACGTAAACAGCTTAATTTAATATTGGATTCTGTTACCGCTTTGACGGCAAATCTTACACGAGGTGACAAAATCAACAAAATCAGAATAAGATAACACCAGTAGACAGTGCAGCGATTATTCCTACAAAAGAGAATCGGATGAAGTTCACTTAGTGGCCTCCGAGAGCATAAAGTATAAATTAACCCATCTCATGTAAAAAAAAAAAAATATACAAATACAAATTTACTAGGTTTCTTAATAGTTGTCAAAATGTATAAGTTATAATCACACTTTGTTTTTAAATATGCTTAATCTTTTAGTTCTGTCTATTTACCAAGGAAAAAATATAGTTGACAAACTTACAAAAGAGGTTTTTTATACATTAATACAGGCGTTAATTTTTATTCGTTTTGATTGTAAGGTATTATTTTTATGTGGAACATTTTGTACAAGAGTTCTTTCTATTTTGTCTGATGAAAGTGTGTTTATAATATAAATTAAAATTGTATTATTTTATGCTAAAGAAAGTAATGCTAATAACAGAAAGTAGGGATGTCATCTAGTAGTGATGAGAATTTGCTATACTTTTTTTTATGGAAAACTTCCTATAAAGCCAATTGACCTTCGTTTTTTATTTAACTGTAAGCAGGGCCGTATTTAGGAGGGGGGGCTGTTGCCCCGGGCGGCTGATTGTGAGGGGACGGCTATATTTTTTTATATTGCATTAAATTTGTATTATATTATAAAAGGGAGTTTTTTTTTTTGTTGCCCCAGGGTGACAAATTCCTAAATACGGCCCTGACTGTAAGAAAAAACGAAAACATTTTAATAGTATTCAAACTTGCATAATAGCATATTTATTTATTTATCTATTAAAAGCTGTACGGCTATTTAGAAGTATTTAGAAATTATATTTGTAAAAATTGGAGGCCAATGCGTCTTACTCTTCCAAATAAGAAAAAATCTATTGAAATCTCATCAGTCTAAGAGACGTCAACCCTACTTTCTAGTTTCTGTAAAGTTTTTTTGAACAAAAAAAACACTGGCGCCGGGGTTTTAAAGTTCGGATATAGTTTAGATGTATAGATTAGACCTAACATTTAAGAAAAATAGTACCTATACACATATTATATTTTGCGTATATTTGCCAAATATATTCAGTTCCCACAAATGCGGTGGATACTTTTTCAGACGATTCCAAGTCCGTTGGTTCTGTAGACAATAATTTCAATTTATAAAAATTAATAACGTGTAACCGCACACAACAAGTCATCCTAGTCGCGTGTATTCGTGTTTCAGGTAACATTAACCTTGGTAGCAGCGTTACAGTATAATAATATACCATTCACACCCGGTGATCATGACAAAACAATGGATATCTTGAAACAAAACCAGCTATTAAAATCCGGTGTATGAACGTAGTCGGTCTGCTCGTGTGTGCAGCACAGATAAATATAGTTTGTGTATTTAATATATATATATTCTTTAAGGTACCTTCCTAAAAAGTATACCTGCATTCGAAGCGTTATAAACTGAGGGCGTGAAAATATGTTATGAATAATAATAATAATATCTTATAAACGTATACCAAAGTTGTAATGACTTTTCGATCAATTCAAAAATATCGACGAGTAATTGGTAATTTAATACCGCGTACCTACAACGAGTAAAGATTTAATATCTCTTTCATCTATATCACGTTGTTATTATTGTTTTAATATTAATAAACCCGGCATGTATATTTCTCATTTAGTTACCAACCAGGTCGCCAAAATTATTATAATATGTGTTTATGTAATACTTCAATGAAAAAATATTCAACATTCTTAATACCTACATGTTGCTGTTGTTACAGATCGAACATAAATTCTAAGAAAACTTTTAGAAAACATTATCTAAATTTAACGCGTAACTCGTTTTTTAACCCTATAGGCTTTTGATATAGCCCTATAGTTATCACGAGCGATAAACAAGTTTTTAATACTGAATAACTATTAACAATTTCATTTTAGGGTTTTTATGAGCCATTCGTTTATTTTACAAGAAAAATTATTGCGAGGAGACATGTAAAAATTGAGTTACTAAAGAATATTTTTACACAACATTTGAAATGTTACCAAATAGTAAGTATATTTTTCTAACAACAAGTATAGTGTTATTTTTATTTTTACAATTTTTAAATGTAATCTGACCACGACTATTTAATATTTTTGTGTCTCCAGAAAAAAAAAAAAGTATTATTTGCAGTTGACTTGAGATAATCTACAGACGTTTTCTATATTTAACTGAAATAAAACTAATTAAGATTATAAATAATTCAGTCTCTTGCGAATTCATTCGACTTTTGTATAGAATTGTTTTTTATAAATTGATATAGATTTAGATAAATAATTTTTTAATTATGTCTTATAATATTAAATAACGCATTAAAATACTATACTTGCAAAAGAAAACATACTTTTAGAGTAAATTAATTGTTCATTTTAACGATGCTAAAATTTGTGGGGTAAAAAAACGTAACTTTATATTGTGACGTTGCATCAAAACAAATGTTTCCTCCGAGTTCTTATTCTCTTATAAAAAATTAGTTTTAAGCAAAACAATTAAGAAAAAAATAAAATAATAATTACAGAATCAATTTTAAACTCCAATTTGAAGATAATCCATCCTTTTGATAATTATTAACCATGCGAAATTTTACAACAGGACTCATAAACATAAGATAATTTACCTAAGCCATAACTAAATTACACATATTATATTTTTTTAGCGTTCAAATCATCATAACGATAGCAACATTTCTTTTTTGATATCCTTTAAAAAATAAACCGCCAAAAGTTATCGGTTCGTTAAATTTCAATTTGCATTTTTTCTTAGTAAAATTTGAAATGTAATTTTATCATAAAAACAAAAAAATTCATTTTGAACAATCAAATAAGCTGAGACTCAAGGCATGCATTAAAAAATAATACTATACACAAAAATAGGGTCAAATGAGAAAATATTAAATAAATGGAGAAAATATACATTAAATATATTTTTTTTAATAATTCAGTAACTTGAAATATTGAAATGAACAACTTTATGTACATAATATAGGATACTACATAATTAAATAAAAAATCAATCATTGTTGGTACTTTCTTAAAATAATTACTAGTAATTTATTTGTCCCATTCGTTTACAATTACCCCATTTGACCCAATACATGATGAGTTTTATTAAAGTTAAATTTAATAATTTAGCACTTGAAAAAAGCTGGTTGTTTCTCTATTGATGATAAATCGAATGCCATCAATTAGATACCTAAATATTTTTCACGAAATGTTTTATCTAACCAAATCGCGACAATTGGACAATTTAATTATTATTATTATACTTATTTGTTTAATCGTCGAGAAACATTTTTTTTTTTTCAATTTAATTTAAGTATTCTAACAACAAAATAACATCCTACTGTACAGTTTGTTTAAATAACATCATTTTGCGACTTACCGAAATTAGCAAAACGTCGATATCCACATGATTCGCCGACAATGCAATGATATCTTTAAAGCGCACCGAACGTTTTTCACAAATTTCGTAAAACTAATAATTGTAATATAAAATTAACAACGACGGCGGCGGCACATGTTATTAATTATCGTGTTCGATCAAATTGAATTTAACAAAAAAAACGCACAAACACACACACGCGCACACTCACTATGCTATTTATTAGGTGTATAAAAACGAAACGAAACTCACGAACACCGACACGTCCAACGGCGCGAGTTTAGGCGATGTGAAAAACAATTTTTTGAATTATGTAAATAATAAAAAAATACTTGACGATAACCACGGCGATAATGAAATGGTGATGATAATGGAATTGCCGCCAAATAACTAACGAACCGCGCCGTCCGCCGTGCAGTACGAGGACATCCGAAGGACTACTCACATGGAGTGACTCCTCAGACCTCGGACGGTCGCTGGAACGGCCGCGCGGCGGTAACAACGCGGGGAACAGGTGAACTGGAGTGCCGCCGGACGGCGCTGCCAACATGTTTATGTGCCGCCGTTGTTCACCGAGTAGTGTATAACAGACAGATATTATTATATTTTACATTTTCATACAATTGAGATCATTTATCCTAATTCGTGATAACAATTAAGGAAGTTGTGTGTACGCTTAATTTTCCAAGTAAAACTGGTGCTGACTGCTGCTGTCAACGAGATTTCAATCAGGGGTTCTCAATACGGCGCAAAAATTTAAATAATTACAGGCAGCAGACCGTAAATTGTGTACATAATTTAATTTCATCAAATATTCCATAAAAGGTGGAAAAACTAGACCGGCCCTGGTCGAATTGGCGAATTTAAAAGCAGCCCACGACATTTTCGAAGTCCTGTTTTATTTATCATACAGCCGGCTCGAATCGGCCAAACGAATGTTATCATATAAATGTCCGGTCCTACAAGCTAAACTGAGAGCCTGCACCCTAGCCCAGTCTATCCTGTCCGCAGGATTATTTGAATTATTACACAATTCCTTCCCGTTAGCAAATTTGACATAATCATCGCAAAATTCATACAAAGATAGCATAATAAATTAAGGTCAATATATTGATTCACATTTATGTTTACGGTACAGTAATTCATCAAACGGTAATACATGATACATCTTCTTGGTAGTTATAACGTATAAATTAAATATGACAAAATAAGATATTATTATGAAATCGAAAGACAATGACTTTACGGAGAGATAGTATATCAGTATATATATTAGTGCGTATTAAGGGTGTAAACATAAAAAAAATCACCGAGTGGGCCAACTTAGAGATCCCAAAATGATGCCGAATATTAGTTGTTATAATTTGCAAGAATTTGCAAATGACTCTCTTTTAATCTCATACATTGTACAATATACACTCAATTGTGATACTAACCATTATCGTGCAAACGGTGTACACTAGTGCGTAAGATGAAAAACGCTACAAGATAAGTTTATACCTATAAAGCTGAAATTAACTTTGTTCAAATCCTTTATGGACAACTTTTTGGAAATACTAATAATAACATTACACGTTAAAATTAAACAAGTTTTACATTGTTCAAAAGGTGATAATAATACGCTTTGCATAATTTTAAGCTATAGTTTATCCACCTACGGTCCGAAAGATAATTAACCCTTTTAAGAGATACAGGCCGAAAATTGTTAATCTGATTTAAAATACTTTAAAACAACCTACGCTAACGAACCTCTGACAGTAATAGGGGACACTTCTCTGAGCCTAGTAGAGGTTGAGCTTAAGTATTATTTTCGAGACGCTTAGCAGCAGTCTAATCTTTTAAATTAATAATTAAAATACACGGGAAAACTTTTTAATTTTTAGAATCATAATATTATTTACACAATTGAAGGGCACAGGAGAAAAACGGTAGTAGTCACATAATGAAAATTTTAGAATATAGCTAAAACAAAATTCGTGAATTCCTCTCCCTTTTACATAAGAACAAAAAAAATCACGTTAAATGCTATTCTAATAAAAAATGTATTCATTTAAACAATCTATTGACATAAATAAAAAAAATTAATGGCATAAATTGAAAAAAACTATTTGAAAAAAAAATTCATAATTAGACTACTACCGTTTTTCCCCTGTGCCCTTCAATTGTTAATTATTCCAATTGTGAAATTCACATACATTTTTTTTTTTAAATCGAATAATACAAAAAAATGATTTAACTGTTTGCATTGGTAATTTACGTGTACGCTCACTTTTTCAATATAAAATAAATCGAATAAATGAAAATGTATAGCTACAATAATAATCGTTGTTACTTGTACATATTATGATAACTGTGTAGGTATAACGCGAAAAAGAATGTGTGAGAAAAACTAACCAACATCAATACACATTTGTCATACTATAATATTATGTTGTATTGTAAGCATTTAATTGCAATAACTGATAAAAATTGTTAGAAATCTAACAATTATTATATTATGTATTGTATCTTCGGTGCTTGGTCAAAAGGTTAAAAACATCATTTTTTCAGGAAAAATATATATATTTTTATCAATTCGTTGTAGATCAATTTAAAAAAAAAATTTTTGAGTAAGCTAATAATTTGTTTTTATAATTGGAATATATTTGTTTAAATAGTTAAAAATCATAATTCATATATACCATATATACATTTATATTTATTATAAAAATTACTTCTTTGGATTTTGACTCGATAGGATTTTATGTTAGACTTAATCTTAATTTGTTTTATCATAAACTTAACAATAGCGTAAACAATCAGCAAATATTAACATTAAACTAATTTTTACCATAAAACAGATGCCAAAAGTGTTACGTATTAAAATATTCATCAATTCACTATTTACCTATTTTCTTCTACCAGTGTAGTATAAGGTTGTATTATAAATATTTAACAGATTTGTAATAAAAACTAGTATGTATTTGGCTCACGTAGCTGGTAGTACAAACTAATAAAAATCTTGGCCATTTTTTTTTTAAATACGGGAACAAGGAATTTGTTTGAGTAAGCTAAACTAAAGCTACATTTAAGAGGGCAACAACCATCGGAAGGATTCAGTTAGAGAAGAGGAAGGCTGAACGGTAAATTAGGTATAATACAAGGCTAGACAAAAACAAAACAAGGCTATCAAACGTATTATAAAAAGCGATGAGAAAATTAATAATAATAATTGAGTACTCGTGTCTAAATCAGGACACTATTGTTTTAATAATAAACACAACAATATGCATATATCTATTGATATAGTCCTATTATAGTATATATAATATATTATATTTTATATATTAATACATATATATATATATAATTTGTATTGTAATTTTTTTCTTATAGTTCACTAGTTAATTATAGTATTTTTTTTTTTAATTGACGTAATAAATACCTAAAATATAGAATATGAAAAATATATAATCATTTATTTTCTAACACGATTAATAATAACTAATGGTTAGTAAAGAAATTAAGAATACAGACAATCTTCGTTTTCTCTTTTGCCTTCATCTCAACTAGTTGGCCACGTTTGTCCCAAACTCTCTTTCGACACATTTAATAAGTTATACAGATTTTTTTTTGTTTTTATTATTTAAAAAAATGTGTGAATACAGAAATATTTATTTATATACTGAATAATAGTTTAATAACATTACCTAACCTTAGTTTATAAGTTATAGTAAAACATTTTAGTAGCCTTACTGATAATACTAAGACAAAAATGCAATTTAGTTTAAAAAAAAAAAAACACTTCTTGTCCATTTTCTTATTTGTTATAAGTATAATTAAATAATCTAAAATTGATCACAAATAAGTCAGAATAGTCAAACGCGCTACGCGGTTGCTGTAGCCGCTAACAGTGTATTATTATTATTATAGCCAATAAAGTAGCGCCATCTAGTTGTATATAATTTACTACCACTTTTTGGTAAATCAAAATTCAGAGGTCGCTACCTTCGTAAATTTAGGAGTAAAATCTAACAGTCTTTTACTCTATTTAATTGTATTTTGTTTGTAATAGTTGTAAGTTTTAACATTTTAGTTATACTTGGAGACAATATCTCATAGAAGAAAATTTAGTAATATGGTCCACCCATGTATGTTTTTGTAATGTGCGCCTAATTTCACCCATTAATTTTTTTTATCATATGGTCCCATCAGAGGAAATTGTTTTTAGAATATTTACAAATTATACTACCGTAAAACCTAAAAAGTAAAATCACCTTTTTTTCTTAGTGTCTATTCGTTAAAAACTAACTTTATTTAGATAAAAACGTATATTATTATTGTTATTAGATTATAATATTATTGAAATTAGCTTAAAATGTAGGCGTACTTTACGAATAAATAAAGCCCGAGTCAATATTACCATATTTTCCTCTAAGATGAACTACTAACCATCACAACACAAATTTTCTTTCTACTTTCATTTAAAGTACGACATAATGTCAAGATTCTATGACCATCACAAGTGGATAGTATTTAATATCTGAGTCGTTAGCTAAATTCACTTTCGAATTATTTTCATTTTTATAATCTTTACCAATAACATTACAACATCCATGTTTGGATAAGATTTATGTAAACATCTTATATCAACCTATATGTTAAATAATATACTCGGTTTATAATTTTTTTATCCAGTCACAGCAGTTTGTAATTATAGAACTTACCTTATTTGTCAAACAAAAAGTTAAAAATTTTGTTTCATTTACAGGTTCTTTTTACATTAGCTCAAACATATGTACAATGTGTTTTGTTTCCTATTATAAACTCTAAGGGAAAACCATTCGGGTAGTTAAAATGAAAACTGATTTTATATAAACTTATTATTTTACTATAGGTATGAATTACTTTATTGTGTTAAATTTTAAATAATACATTGAATAATATTTTCCAATTTACCATAATTTAAGTGAGTATTAGCTTATATTTATTTATGAGAAGTAGCTATATAATACAGAATAATAATACAATGTTACAACTTAGACACGTGCGAATTAACTATAAGACAAAATCACAATTAAATATTATTAATAACAGAACGGAAATTATTAGGACGCATTTAATTTGTATATAATTTAAAAGAGCATGAAAATATACCATATGAATATGGACAATAAATTGTATTCTGTGTTCTTTTGCACTACATCTAAGTTTATGAATTTAGCTATGAGAGCAGAAAAAAAAGGAAAAACAGAACCTTTAGTGTACTTTTTGAGTTTGGACAACTAAAAGGATGAGATCAATATGATAATAGACTAGAGAAAACTCAAGCATATTTTCTTAAATTATACATAAAAACAAATATGAATAAAAAGAATAAAAATTACATAAAATATTGATTAGAATTACACAACTCGGAACATTTTATACAATACAAATTGTTAAGGGACTCTCACAAGCTGGGTTTTAGAGGGATTCGTTAAATTAACTATGGATGATAACTTTATTCGACAATTTATCGTTATGTTGTAATACATAAAAATAGTATTATGAATAATCGTTATAATACAAAAACAATGATTAATAACAGCTTGTATACTGATATAAAAACAAAAAAAGTGCTCGACCACAAGTCATAAAATTTAATAAATAAAGGATAGAGTTAATACTGGTTAAATTTATAAAGGAGGATAATTCAAGTCCATTTAATAATGCCCTGATAAAATTCAATCACAGCTTGAGGGTATTTTATGTTGGCGATTTCCGAAGGAAAAAAATCTGCTTCAGTCTCATTCTTAGGCCGTATTAAAAACGTCATTTTTTTTTCTTCTAACTTGTAGCCCAAAATGATGTCTTTTTCTTTGGTGTGCGTTGGAGGATTTTTTTCATATTGTTCTATCATTTCACACGGGATATCTTTTTTTGGCTCCCAAGAGTTTTTTGATTCATTCCATTCTACATTGTAATAGATCGTTTCCTTGTGTGTGAACTTGTCGATAATTGCTTTGATAGATCTTCTATAATAATCAATTCACAACATATAAAATAATGTACACATTATTTAAGCAAAATATATTTTCTAATGAAAATCCAAGTATAATAAAATACCGCGATAATTGCAACTGTGTAGTTTGGTAATATTACATGAAGAGTGAAAGTGTCAAACGTTTCAAGTGCCAAAGTATAAAAATTGAACTTTATAACTTGATTGGTATTTTATTCATTACCGGAAACACTTACACATATTTTTGAGTTTTAAATATGATTGTTTTTTTTTTTATAAATAACTATTCTTTACTTGAAAAATTTACAAAATTGTTTCCGATAATGAATGAAATACAAATCAAATTATAAAGTACAATTTTTATACTTTGGCACTTGGAACGTTTGACACTTTCACTCTTTACATGTTTTATTGTTTACGGATATAACAAACATATTATATACTATTTTATAATCTTAAAGATGCATATTTTTGAGAAAGTATTCTATTTGTAATGAGCTGGCAAACTAAACGAGGTTGCAATATAAAATAATAATAAAAACCCTTAACCATAAAAATGATATACTCTCCGCGAATACGTCATATTTCGGCAACAATGTGGTCATCTTCAGCGCTCACGACAGACTGGCGGAGAGTATATAATTTTTATGGTTAAGGGTTTTTATTATTATTTTATTACATATAACCATAAGTGCTTAAGTAAGATTTAGATTAAAGTTGCAAAATGTTTCAAAAGATGAATTGTCTCACAATTTTTTTATAGGATGCTACTCCGCCTATTCCTACGGAGTAAAGTATAGGCAATTTTTAGTAAAATCATAAGAGCTTAAACTACAGTGTGTACTTAATAGTACAGCACTAAGGATTCTTTATTGATTATCATTATTTGTTTGTTAGACTATCACCGTTATTAATAAAGGATAAATTACAATTTTTTCCCACCAAAACTGCTTCGCGAAGGACAAACTTATGAGCTTATACAATATTCACAGTAAAATTACCACCTTTGTACAATACATAGAAAAAACCTTTAACTGTGTCGTAGCGTTTTTATTTTTTATAATATTAATACTTACGAACTTATAAAAAATGAATGAAAAAAAAAGAATCTTTACGAATGTCATCTCTTAAGCCAAAATTGTTGTTTAATAAACTTTTATTGGTTATATTTTTAATAGACCATTTATTTGTTTTATGTATTATCCAAAGATCTAGGTAAAATAAACAAAAGAAAATAAGGTACGCCATTTTAAGTATAACTCATAAATTTTGTATAATGTTACTATGAATTTTTAAACATAATTTAGTTCAGTAATTTAAGCAGAAATTAGGAACTAATAAAATGTATACCTAAAAGACAAAAAAAAAAAAAAACATAAACCTAAAAAAATTATACCAAAAAAAAAAAATGTATGTTCCAGTAATCTTTAATGGCAATTTTTTAATTTATGTATGAAAAATATAAAGTAGAATAGAAATATTTCCCTTGTATTTTAGTTAAAAGCGATATGCTATAATATAGCAGCTATATTATAATATAAAATTCTAGATGAGCTCATTGAAATCGTGATATACATAAACATAAGTAAGTATTTCATATTAGAAAAATACAAATCGTGCTACGGTTAATGAAATAATGTAAATATCGCCTTTACCTAAAAAAATTAAAATTGAAAACCTAACCTTTGACATAAGACATAGCAGCTGTTTTATTTAAAACACATGTAATGGCATTCTATATTCCAGTTATAATGTATTAGGTAGAATGTAATTGTTGACACTGTCGTAAATAATGTAGCTAGGTGAACCTTTGAAGAATGGAAATCACACCTGGACACGGCTACAATAAAATACAAAAGAACCCAAAGGATAGGTAAACTAAAAAGGTATTGGTAGATTGTTATAGCCGATTGTTTGCCCTTTTGATTTTTTTGAACTGAAAACTTATTTTTCGAATTTAATCCAAATCCACAGCTCTGAGCCCGAATACATTTGATTGTGTACTCGCTATTATACCATTATATCGAATTTAGGGGGATAAAATGGATACAATTGAACCGGAAGGACCAATTTAACAGAGGGGAGCGTATGAATTAAGCAGCACCAGGCAGGATAAAACCGACCATAACTGCTATGTCACACATTATAACTAAAAGTTAAATAATAATGTAAAATACGTTATTCTGATCGCAAGATCTAATCATCCGATTCAAAATAATGTTAAAAAACAATTACCTTATTATTTATTTTTCTCAAATTCTTCATTAATTCGTTTGTCGTTAGTTAAGAATTTCAAATTACTTTTTGTATTGATTACTTATTTTAATTTGACAACTAATATTGACTTTTTTTATTGTATAATAAGTTATTTTTAATTAAAAGCATCGCATCGTGGAAAAATAGCGTTCTGGGTAGTCAAATTTTTACATTGAAAATTAATGGTATTATTATTTTTGAACGTCTTATTATTTTCAACTTTGAGAAAGATCGTTCGCACTGCACTGGGTAAGACGAATTTTTAGAGATATGTGTAGACAAAAAAAAAATTGTATACACTCTAAGAATAATTATTTAACTCATAGGTAATTCATAAGTAATATTAGATACTGATTTTGTGTAATATTCATAATTATCGACCATGAAAGGTGAAAACCTCGAAAGGTTCAAAATTAAAATCGATATAGGTATTAAAAACACATAAAATTTAATTATAAAGCAATCAACGAAACCTAAAAAAATTGTTCACAATTTTATAAAAACAAAAAATCCTCTCTTTAAACAATCCTCTCTTATTCGAAAATATATTCCTAGAATTCCTCCCAGGCACCTTAAACGTAATTGACCTTATTTTTAATTGATCTTTTACAAAAATTATACAATAAGCATTAGCTAGAAGTTTTGCCAATAGTTAGTGCCTAGTATCAAAACGTTACTTAATAATGTAATTATTTATAAACCAATCGTTCGGTACGCAATTAAAAAAAACGTTTTTATAAATAATTTTTGTTTTGTCTATTTCGTGTTTTGTCTTGGACGGAATGTTTAAAAAAACATACTAATAGGTACATACAATGTTGTAACGTTGTAATGTATGTAATACATAATATATTGTATTTATAATATACATTTATTATAATAATATATTAGACATATTAATGTTAGAAAAATATTTATAATTCACGTTAAAAACGTTATATTTCAATTGTTGTTACCTTGTCGTCGAGATGTCTTCGTGCGTTGCGTTTGGTTCGCCGGCCTGACTGGTGGATGCCATTTCTAAAACTGTAATTCCGTTTATGTGAAATCCAACCGGGAAACCCGTCACCTCAGCAATCCGAACGCGGCAGGGCGTGGTAAGAGAATGACGAGGGGACGAGAGACGCAGGGCGCTTCAGTGGTTATTGATTGAAAGCACAGTTTACTCTCCTATTAAGCGCAGTGCTACCACCGTAGCATATGGCAGTGTTCCGCGTGGACAACAAACACCGGTCAATCGTTAATCTATGGTACCTTCCGGCATTTTTTAAAAGGGTTGTGTAGTAGCGAAAAACGCGTAACGCGTGTACCGGATGTTGTAATACCGATCGGGTTTTGTGTTAAATTAACATTTTCATACGTGAAGAAATTATTATCGTGTGACACATGGCGTAACGGTCGCTAGTGCATATACACTGAGAGAGCATTGTAGCCCGGTAAAGAGGAGGGTGGTTTTTTTTTTTGCTACCCGCGTGGGTCGCCACCGTGCACCGGATACAGACCCGTACCGGGGTTAGGGTAGGGGCGCTTCTTGGCAAAAATTTTAAACAGCTGTAGCCGTACCACACTACTGTTGCCCCGGCGGCCGTACCACAGTTAAACTGTGTCCGTGATACAAAGAATTTCAAGTAAAACGTACCCAATAGGTGTTTCTTCGTTCTGCCGTCAAAAAACAGATAATTTAGATATAATTTTGCTTGCGATCCCTACTAGAAATTAATATAGCCCAAAAATGTATGTTTCCAATGTTGTCTGCGGATAATCAAATTAATCTCTACTCGAGGGACACGATTTGGTAATTTCATTATCAAGTTCAAAAAAAAAAAAAAATACACAATCTTTACGTAAAATTTTCAATTTTGACCGTTTATCAAACTTAATATAACACTAAAACAAAGACACGGTTTAAAATCATTATGATGAATATTCGCTATTTTCGATTGTTTTCTTAGCATTTAGGTATTAGTGAAAATTTAACACACTGATCGCATGAAACATACATGTGGTGGTCCCACCCCTTTACTCTATTTTTCTCGTTGTGTGAACTCATGTCCCCGTGAAAACTTCACTATATTTATATCAATGACGAAGTGAAAGTTATGCTATACTAGCATAACTTAAGTAGTAACTTAATAACTTAAGCTAAGAATAGTATAATTAAGTTAGTAAGTACTTAACTAAGTATATTTCCTCCTTATTAGTGTGTCGCCTTGGCTTGGAATACATCGGACAACACCTAGAGTCTATTTGAATACTAAGAGCGTCCGCTCTTTTAAACATTTTAGTTGGGTGGTTAAGACAAGTAGTTCAGTACTATCTGATATCTCTACATACCTACCCCATACTTCATGAATAGCTTTAAAGTGTACATTTTGTTTGTAAAATGTATTGACGAAAATGTAAATGCAAAATAGACTAATAATTCAGAGTAGTCCAGAGATGTTTCCAATTCCAAAACCAGAATTAGACCAGTCTCAATGCCATTAAGAGAGTTTATACAGGCCCCGGACATTGATAAAAATAAAAAAAGGCCTCACGTTTTCGTTTACATTGAAAGTGACTTTTCTGCTTTAGTTTTCTGGAGTTTTACCTAAAACCAAAAAGGTTTATGCAACCTTACCTAATAAATATATTTTGTAGAGTAAGTTCTCAGTTATCAAAATATATCATTTTTGTTTGCGTGTCGTCGCATCAGTAACGCATAAAATATAGATTACTAGCAAAGTTTCCCATGAAAACCGTACGAGTCAAATAATTCCGCCTAGTTGTTTTTATAAATATGTATAGTTTGTACAAATATTACCTTAAAATGAATAGTTCTTAAGAACATTTATTTTCTTTAAAAAAAATCAAAATTTATCTAAATATATAGCATATATTCTATATTTATTTGTTGAAAGATAACGTGATTAAAAATTCAATTATACCACAAGCTATATCGAATTTTGAATGGGTTTTTTTCTGGTAAACCCCGAATAATCCGCCCAGGTAGTAAAACCCATCGGGTTTCAGGGTCTTTTGGGGTTTACTTACAAAAAAACCTTAAATACCGGAGTGGGTTGGGTTTTTTCAAAAGAAACCCGGGTTTTGCCATTTATATATTAGAGAATAACCGACGTCGCTTGGTTCCCATATATTTTTAACTATTAGAGTTCCTTTCCTAAAAATGTTGCTTAGACCTGTGTTTTGAGAGCTAACATATTATACTTAAGTGTCATTTATACCCGAAATTCAAAAATTCTATGTTCGTTATAAAATGGCCATTTAGAAGTCCTAGTCCGCACATTTGAAGTCCCCTCCATCCGATGTCGCTTAGACCCTTCTGAGTGCATCCATGAGCCATCGATATTATGCAAACGTTTTTCGTTTTTTGGTATTTTTATTTTTTTACAGGGTTTAGAAAACGGGTTCAAATATAATTTAGATTTTTCTAATCGCTAACAATTCATTCTTCGTCTGAAAATGTAGTTTTATTGAGCACGATTAGATTAATATGAATTGATTTAAGCTATTTAAAGTTTCTCAGGCATGTACTCAACCCTTACTTACCTTTAAACACGAGCATTATTAATACCACAATCAAACGTGAACTCTACTGGCCAACCAATGAGTTAGCACGATTGAACAATGTTACACTACGACGGTTCAAGATTCTTTTTGAAGTAAACCTTTGGGAATGCAAAATCAAATTCAGTAAATAAAAAATCGGATGGATTTTTCTGATTTTCTCTTAACTGCAAAACAGTTATTATATATTTTACTTCCATGACACTTTTATTCGATACAGATAAACAATTTGAAAAAAAAAATTTAAAACAATACATTGTAATTAAGTACACATATTTCAAATAATTATATTACATAAAAAAAAAAACAGTTGTTTCAATAATTTCTATAAAAAATATATATATTAAGTTTAAAAAAAAAACCAAATTTTAATAATATAATTTTTAAAGTAAGTGAATACAGAATGAATATGAGAATACTATAGTTGTGATTAGTTAACGTCTAAGAATTAATATTATTAGGTCGTTTCATGCCTTACTGGCACGCATTAAATATTATTTACAGTACATCATCGTAACAATTTAAACTATAGTTAATAATTTACTTCCCCTCCCCCGCATATTTCCAATAAATATTTGCGGAAATTCGACATGGCCAAAGCTTGCCTCCTTTAAAGGTTTCAATTACAAATTTCAATAAATCGAATAACTCAAGAAAACATTTATTGATTCAATGTGAGCTTAAAGTTCACAAAATACATAGAGAAGAGTCTCTGAACTATGCGTAAAAATAAATAAATAATAATAATGGCATACAAAATGTGAACTTAAAAAAAACCTTATTTTAAATTTCCCTACCTTACTTAGGACATGAACAAATATATCTAACCCACCAACTATTATACTACAATAATAGTGGACAGTACACTCTAATTGGATGGACATAAATTTCAGGGCATTGAATAATTTACAAAATGTAATCAGACAATATAATAAAAAGAAAAATTTGAGCAACGCTGCTTAAGTTTAAACAATTTTTTGTTCAAAATTAAAATACAAGGAATGTGATTAAGTCACAAAACTGAGGAAATCATTTACGACTAACCAATTATGTAACATTGAATTGAATACTCACACAAGCAGAGTAAAAAAATTTTAATAAACAATTAGAAAAAAAATTTAAAAACACAATTTAAAACAACAAAGAAACAAAATTACAAATTACATCGATAAATGCGTTTTTTAAATATTTTTGTTATAAAACATTTTTTTTACAGTTTACTATAGAGTTTTGCTTCATGGTAAAATTAAAACTATACATATTTTGTTAACAAGTAATAGTATTAATATTTAATAATGAAGACCAATTATTATTGAGCTTTATAGTTTTGATCACTATTGATAAAAATTAGGGTTCCAAAAAACCAATTTTGGAAATTACTTAATTTTAAAAACTCGTTTTATAAATGCGCATAGTTGGATAAAAATATATAGTCCAATTACATTTATTACATTAAAAAATAATTTTTTGTTTTTTCGAACACAGAAAAAAGATAGTTATAAAAATTGTAATGAATAATCTATAATAGTTTAAAATGTGTATCGTATACACATTATTGGTAACAAGTTCGACAGCAGCGATTTGTTATTTCTTAATTCTATGTACACTCGTTTGCTGTGTTCAAACGAAATTGTACCCAATTTTTACAACTTGGTCATAAAGTTACAGTCATTTTTTAAATAGTTTAATAGGGTACTATTATACACATGGCACGTTACCGTTTCAGAACAATCCTTTTTTCTTGATTTTTTTCTCTTTTCCATCGGTAGTTCTGCAAAACAAGATTGACAATTGTTTTTAATAATGTTAAAAATTGATAATTAATTGTTGCAAAATAAAAATTGCACTGTTCAAAATCTTCTAACATCCAGTAAAAAATAAAAATAAATACATACATTTGTACAAAATATTAAACATCAACTATTTTGCAATTATTTGTTTTACTGAGTTACAATGATTGTGGATAGGTTTAGTTTAAATATTTCTAGTTACGTACTCTCTTTCTAACGACCGTCTTCTCAATTCGTCTAGACTGACACCACTGCTGTTTTCCCAATCTCTAATTTCAGCTTCTAGTTGCCGACGTCTGTCGTCCAATTCGCTTGCTTCCGATTCTAACCTTTTCAACATTTGTTCGTTCTTCTGTTGCAACTATAATTTATACGGTAATACAAATAATTAAAATAAAACACACATTTATAAATAAAGAATAAAAATACTTACGGTGATTTCTGAATCTTTGAGCTTCTGTTTCTTTTCTTTGACTTTCATTTCGAAAACTTGTTCCATTTCAGTTTCCATTTTCTTTAACTTGGCGTCATGTTCGCGTTTTTCATCCTCCATTTGGGCTAAGGGGTTCCTTGATTAACAAAAACATAAAATTATAAGTTCAACAATTAACATGCTACATTATATTTATAATTAAAACTAACCAAGTAAATTTCATTAAAAAAAAAAAACCTATTAAATAAATTACTAAAATTCATTGGACCAATTTTTGGATGATTATTTGTCTTGATTATTAGTAACTAAAACTTACCACACGGCAACGAATGAATTGTTGATGGCTCCCGGTGCGCATGAGCTGGGTCAGTGTGTAAGAAAATAATAATAATTCTTTTTAATATTATAAAAGTATAATCAAAATACGAATACTAAAAAGCTTTCATTCAATGATGACATGTTATACATAGAAGCGATAAAAGACACTAACTACAAAGAAGTACAGTAAATCTATTTTACTAGTCTCATATTAATAATACGCCAAGTGTATTGCAATTACTATAAATTTAATTTGTTTTCAAGAAAGCGTATCATTGAATATTTGTCTGAAATACAAATTTGTAAAAAACATTGAATTAATTAATATCAATTATTGCGATTTTTGTAGAAGTGAAAATTCTTATTTATAGCACCCTAAGCTATGATTGATACTATTACATAGATGACAACTGATAAGAGTATAGTAAGAAGTAATTTTTTTTTTTTTTTAATAAATTTAAATCTTGATTTTTTAAATCAATCGCGGGGTCTCACGACACTTTTTTTCAAGACAAGACTAACAAAAGCTTAAGCAAAATAAAAATAAGAATAGCAAACAAAAAAAACAATATTTTTAAACAATAAAAAAAAAAAGAATATTTATGTTCAACGGTCGTTAACCGTTTTGGGTCTCATCCAAAAATCAGCCAAATAAATCAGAAATAGATATTGCCTGAATACAAAGAAGACGGGATTGTCTATATAAATTTTATATATGGGGACACACCATAAACATAATATACAACCAAAACCTGTGAAGGCTAATGCAATTTTTTCGAGCTACTCACTTTGTCATTCCTTTTGGTCCATCAGCAGAAAAGCACGCTAACTTCCTAAACCTAAAGTTTTCATAGTGCACGTTACTGGTCACCTCTTTTAGATCTTGTAAGTGTGTTCTCAGAAGCATATTTCTTAATGCAACAAAGTCGCAATGCTCAAGATTTTCCACTTAAAAAAAAAAAAAAAAAAAAACGGTACATATCAATATCTACCTCTTCAAGTTTGTCGATTAAAAAAAAATTAAGATATTTATAATTATCTATACCTTCAACAAGACCCCATGGATATTTTCGACCTCGAACCTTTTTGCCTTCTACGTCATGGACCTCGGTCGATCCCACCACTGCAAATGGTACTCTGGCTTTGAGTTTTTTTAGATTATCACGATCTTCGTCTTTGTCGGAATCGGGAAAATCGTAAATTTTTATTTTATGTTGAGCGATCTCATCTAAAATCTATTGTAATCGCCATAAAAACATTAATTATCTCTCACCACAGATCAGCCGACAGATTCATACCTGTTTTTTGTACTCCTTTACTTCGTCTGGAGTCATGGTGTCTGCTTTCGATATAATAGGTATTATGTTTACTTTATCGTGAAGTCTTTGCATGAATTCCACATCTAAAGGCGTCATCCCGTGACTATTGGACTCCAGGAAGTATAAACAACAATGTACTCTACTGTCATGCTGTACTTTTCTATTGACTCTAGATTCTGCGTTCAGATACTCTTCATACCTTTAAAAAAAAATATATATATATCCATTGTGATTAGCATAAGTACCACCGTTTTCAACAAAAAATAGGCTGACAACATTTACCTTGATTCAATGTATTCCAGAACAGGTTGCCAACAATCTGAATTATCGACAGCGTCTCCAAATCCCGGTGTGTCGACAACCGTAAGAGTGAGGTTAACGCCCTTCTCTTTCAACAGACATCTGTTGGTTTCCACTCTTACGGTTTTTCCCACGCGAAGGGAAGGTCCAGGGTGGTCTTTACCGTAGATATCAGCCAGGAACATGGTGTTTATTAAAGTGGATTTTCCAAGACCCGATCGTCCTGTAATTTGTTCAATATGATATGTTAATAGTGTCACTAGTAGGCCTGAATGTGTGTTCAGCGACTTACCTACTACCATTAGGGTAAACTCAAAGCCTTTTTTAACGGCTTTGCGATACACTTGATTTGGTAAATTAGCAAATCCGACATAGCCATCTAATTTTTTGACCTTCCTCTCGTTTGACTTTACAGCAGCCGATTGTTCGGTTTTAATTAGTTTTTCTTTGTTGTCCGAGGAATCCGACGACTCGGCTAAACATTATTATAAAAACGTTATTGCTTAAAAACCACATTCGATAGAAAATAAATAATAAAGACTATACTCACATTTAGCGATGGGCAGTCGCGGTTTGTTCATTGGTCCGGACGGTGGCAGACTAGCGCTTTGGTTGGACATTGAATTGATGGTAGAGTTTTGTTGGGGCAACGAATTGGACACTGGAGCAATTGAATTGTTGGCATTCGACTGGACGGCAGGTGGAGTAGCTGAGCTTGTGTTGTTCGACACGTCATTCTTGAAGAACAACTCGCGCTTGCTTTGCAGCTGGAAAACATAAAATAATAACGGTTAGCTAAAAAATGGGTTAAAAAATGTTTTTAATTTAATAACAACTAGTTGTCATCGGTATGCTCGAAATTCCCGCCAACATCATATGCGTCATACATATCATATCACACGTTTTGTGATAAACGACAAAACGACGAAATCATATCAAACGTAAATCAAGTCTAAACAACATAATACATAATAATGCCATCGACGAGCACAATAATAATATTATAATTATTATTATTATTATAACGGAGCTCACAAATATACAATATATATATATATATCTTTTTTTTTTATCGTAAATAGGTAGGTACATCGAGCGTTACAACTATTGACTACCAAACCCTTTTTTTGCTAGCAATACCGCGTTTAGTTCAAATCATTCTCGGTTTCCTAACACAATTATCAGAATATTTTTATACGGTAATAATTATTGTTTACTAAGTACGGCGGCAGCAGCTGTTGTAATCGATAATTAATGGAAAACCGGTCTCAGTTAATTATCTGTGTCAACGCGTAATTACATTTAATGTACATAATGATATAACGCGTAATACACGCGATAAGCGCCTACACATCCCGGCACACAGTTGATAAGTACCTAAGTACTACACACGGTTCATCACTGACTGAGTCACGTTGGATTATTGTTGCAAGCAGAATGTAAAAAAATAAAAATAAATACCCAACAATAATAATGAAAATGATAATAATTCGTAAGACACACGCTACCAAGTGATCGACCGTGTAATATTTACCGGTTTTTTTTTTTTGTCTACAAAAGTCAAAGTAGTCAAATAACTGAATGCGTTTTTCATATGTTATGCACATATATATATTTGCCCAGAGGTATTGTCCCGGTCTCGGACCCAAGGCGTTTTACGTTGACGATTAAGTTATGCGCATAGGAAATCGCCCGATTGAATTGTAGATCGTTCAAGTTGGATTAAGTGATCTATTTTACTATAGCCCGACGGCCTGTTCTCGTCTTGACGCTTGGATACCAAAAAAAAAAAACTACATAATTTACCAATTTCGATACAAAAATACCAAGTCAACGAGGATTTTTTCTATGGTACATTTGTGTTGTGACTATTGGAACAGATGATCTTAGAATGACCTTACAATGTCAGGTTGATATCATCAAGCAAGATACCGTAGATAATAGAAAAAAAAAAAGTGGACGGGTTGTATTGAATTTCGAGTCATCATACTCGCGCTGCAGTGACATTAATGTGATTCGTCACTACCCGTTGATTATTTTTTACAAAAATATAAAAACCGCTAAGTCAAATACTGTATCGAATAACCGATTTTAATGCAATTTTTTTTTTTTTTGAAGGGCAAACATATATTTTGAACAAAAAATATTATATACCATCACGTTCGTTGCTCATGCGGGGGTTAATCGACCTAAATTCCATCGCACGAATTCATACTATATATAGGTAGGAATTCCACAGATAATCTATATAAATCACCAAGGGATGGCGACGGGCGTGCAAACCGAAAACGTGATCAAATCCCCGGACACGGTCACATCGTCGACGACGGATCTATCTGATGGGTACAAACATTGGACGACAAAACAGAATTTGTAGAAAAGAAAAAAATGTTAAGTAAAAAATCACAAATTTAAAAAACGATCGAACGAAACGGCTTTATCCACGTCGGGTACTCGTCGGATATTGTATACGGTTAGGATAACCGAGTATAAGAAAATCAAAACGTGAAGAGAGATAAAAAAATATAATAAATAAATACATTAATATTTATTTAATCACTCAATGCCGTTTGGGTGTATTTGTGGACCTTTATTTTTAACGATTATCTATAAGTATCCGAAAAATGTTGAATAAAAAGCCATACGATATATTGGCAAGTCGCCGCCTGTGGGCTCTTCTAATAAGATTAACTACAATTATTTATAATACTCACGTCGGTTTTCGGCATGACTACTTCCGAATTCATAGTGATTTGTATACGTTGTTATTAGACAGTCGACGATAATAACACCGGACGATCGTCATCGAATGGAAACCGGTGGAGAACTGAACACAGTTTAGTCATATCGAGGACGACAGTCGTTAAAAAAGAAAAGCTGTTTATGATAAAATAGAAAATATTGTATTGATAAAAAATACGATTAAGTGATTAATAAAAAAAATTCCATTTGCTGACAAAAAAAACTAGTTATTTTTTTTTTTTTACATTTTTGTTAGTAATAAAAATAACAATACAACTCTTCGCGTAAAATATTTGTTTTGATTAAACGATAAACGACCAGCGCAGTCGGACGACGACAATACCTTCGAGATATAATATTTGTAAGTAAAATTAAAAACGTCCGACGCCACCATAATGAAAAAAAGTCTTACGCTATTCGTATGACCTTTTCGGATATTTGACCACGAGCAATTAACTATCACGAAATTTAACGATTACAACTTATGTAAAGAGTGAAAAAACTGATGGTCCTACAAAAATCACGACACATGTCAAAAACATTGACTCACGTATTTTGTACTTAACTACCCATACATTATTATAGTAATAAATATGTATATTATGTATATGACATATGTATAAATTGGCCTTACCATCTAAAAAATATATACATCTAACACGACCAATCCCATTTTCGATAATCAAAAATAGTTTTTTATTTTCAAGCCGAAACGCGGTGTCGCAGTCTTATCATAATCAGAATAAAAAAAAATCAGACGGTCAAAAGAAATTATGCTTCTCTGAAAAGAAGATATTGTTTCATGTAAAGAAATCCTTTCTTTTGTGTTGGTAGTGTGTTGTAGTAATACTATAGAGATTCTCGCAGCTATGGTATTTATCGTACGTCTTTATTGTTTACTCTATATTTTACCCGTAAGCTTCTACGGGATTAATTAAAACAAGTCAAATAGGTCATTGCACGAAGAGGATCGAACACAATAATCGAGTTATTTTTCAGGTATTTTATAGCGTATATCTACTCTTTCGTATTTTAAACCGGGAGGACGGGACCCCTTTTGAAAATCAAACAACAAGTTCAAATAAAAGAAAAACAAATCATTATCATATTGATTAAGTTCGAAATTCGATAGAACCATTGATTTTAAAAATTGTTATATATTTAAAAATAAATGATAGAACTAAATATATGACTCACTCGGTAACATCAGGCAAGGTATGATATCAGAAACTCCAAGAAAAGGCGACACTAAGAGATACCACGTTACACTAATAATTTCACAAATCAATAAGAAGATACATTAAGGTCAAGTATAGATTAAGAATAGCGTGCTTTAATATGAATGTTATTGATCTCCTCATAAAAAAAAAAACAACACTAGCGCCACTTCTAACATAAAAATATTCAAGTATCATTTGGATTTTATTTACTAATATTAGTTGAACATAGGTTAAAAATTAAAACTTACTCTCAAACTAAAATAGGTATTTATAATCATCAACATATATATTTAGATTAGTTTTATTTTAAAATAACTATGTACATTATTTTTAGTTTGAGAGTAAAATGTAAACTTTTGCCAAGAACTTTATGTGGACTTCTGGTAAAGACCTATCTATTTTAATAGATTTTATGTCCCCGGCTGTTTTTCATGAACGCGAACACCGCGACCATACTTATCATACTAATAAAAAATCATCGGTGAACATCAAAAATAGTTAAAAGCACCCATTACATTGATGCAAATACCACAACGTACCGGTAGAGTCAGACTGATTATTCAAACATACTTATATCTTTCAACGCGAATATCAACCAAACATTTATAAATCTAAAGCACTATGTGGGTAGACGATTAAAATACTTTATGTATCTTATAGAAATGCTCAGCTGCCCCACCTCCGACTGTGGAATACTATTAACAACAAAACACTACAGTGTACATAGTGTATTCACTTAAGTCGGAAACCCGTTTCCAATCTTATCGAGCACCCTGTAGCATAATTAGAAAGATGACGTCTTTCTAGAAAGAACAAGAACCGATTGTCGGTGGACGAACACGTGTGGCACCGTCGAGTCGACACACGACATACCACCCCAAAAAAACATTTTAGATTTCCAACGTCATACCATACCCCGGGTATAGAGCACTATAGAGTAACGGTTATAAAAATAAACGTCCATGAGAAAGACTAAACGTGCGTCGGACATTCTGCACGTGTGGGTCCGTATCGTCAAGCCCCGCGAACCCTGATAAAAATTAACACGGGGAAGATACTTATCACACAAAAACGAGGCGGCCATCTTCTTAAGGCTACACACCCCTATAATGTTATATCTATACATTATTATGGATATAACATATAATCGTAGAATAGATCAAAGCAGAAGTCACTTTAAATGTAAACAAAAAAGTGACGACCCTATTGTAAAGACTTGTTTAGTATTATGTGTTACGCCTATGCACAATTCAAAATAATAATATATAGTTATAACATTAAAGCCGTAAGAAGATGGCCGCCGCGTTTTTGCGTCATAAGTATCTTACCCGAGTTAATTTATATCGGCGTCCGATGTTTAACTGAATTGTCCACCACAAAACGGCTTTTTTGTTTACATTGAAAGTGACCCTTTTGCTGCTTACATCTATTCTGTGGTATCGTACCGTAGTACAACGAGTATGGTCGAGTATGTTGTAGTTTTTAGCGTTCGCGTCGGCCAATAATAGTACCGGGGACGGTAGTACTACTCTGCGGTGTCGTGTACCAATATGAGTATGTATGGATGGGTCAGAATACCTTGTCGCCACTGACTCCGCCGGCCGGTCCGAATATATTTAGCGTATCATATTTGCGAATGTCCATAAAAAATTCGATTTCGAAACCCTGGCTGATATTCCCGATTGGACCGTCGGCGACAGATGCGGCGAGCTCGACGAAATAGTTGCTGCCTTCGCGCAAACTACGGTACCTCAACACGTTGGTAATGAGATACAGATTAGATATTTTATATTGGCGCCTGTACGGCGGCGGCGGCGGCGGCGCGATGTCCACGAAAAACACAGACTCCTGATGATACGGGCTCCTTTCGTACATGTTCTTTATGATCCCAGAATACCGTTCTATCAGGTACAGGCGGGCAGGGGTTCCCTGGTGGCCCGGTGCCACTGTCGAACTGTTATCAGCGGCTTCGGAATGTCTGGCGCGCTCTAGCCACTTATAGGTTTCCTTTTCGAGCATCACTATCTTGTTCTTAATGTTCACACATTCTTCTTGGAACAACCGTCTGTCGAACAATTTTGATCGCCGTTTTACCTGTCCCGCGACTTGTCCGTTGTCTTGGGCGTCGCTGAGCAGAGAATGCATCCGACTAAGCGCGTCAAATATCTCAGACGATTCGGCGTCCAGCGACCACACGGCGTCCCGGTGACACGGCTGCCGGCTGGATTTGTCTTGGCAATCGCCGCTGAGCTTTTCGAAACAAACGAAGTAAATAAACTGATCCAACAGATCGCAGAACCTGAGCAGACTCTCGCGAAACGCGTCCAGAGCGGCCATAACGTCAAATTCGACTAGGGCGAGACGGCGACTATTGTTTGTTTTTTTTTTATAAGACGCTGACGTTTGACAAAGTAAATGGTTTTGCGTATTTACACTTACATCAATATTGTTATACTATAATCAGTTTGAAAAAAGCAATGGGCGCGGCACGTGACATCGGCGAATTTAAAAAACACGCCATCACCGATATGGAAACTGTAAATTAAAAACCAACGAAAACAGGTGATCAGAGAGATACTGAACGCACAACATATTATTAAAACGGATCGACATGGACAGATAGCGTCAGTAAGAACCATATAATACTGTCCAAATTACAATGCTTCGTTATCAGTCAACAAATGTAAAAAATTATAATATTGATGCCGTTTGTCTGACAAAATTACATTGTTTAGTATCTCTGTTAACATTTTCTAATCTAAATTAGCCAAACGCTAAACGTATGACCATATGTTATTATAAGCGTTATTTGTTACAAAATAAATGCACGACATGTCAACGTCTGAACACAGCACTAATAATTGAAAATCTAATAGGCAATTTTATTTTTAATTAAAAAATAACGATAAACATCCAATTCCAATTATTGATAAAATAGTTTTATGGTAACTTTATAATTTAGCCACAACAACTATTAATTAAAATAATCAAAATTCATATTCCTATTATTATATAATTTTTCCAGAATTAAATGAAAAATTGAAACGATTGAATGATGAAAAATTGTTTTTAAATCACTGTCAAGGATGCTGTGATTGTCCGAAAAATAAATTAACTACCAAAAAAAAAAAGTTCTAATTACTAATCTAATAATTACAATCACAGTTTAACCTTTAAATTGATATTTTGCAAACATTTTCCTATATCTAACTCCTTCATAAATGGTGGTATGAGGTCCTCTTAAGTTGTTTTACGTGTATCTGTACGGGCGTATACCTCGATATTTTGAATATTATGTGAAATAATTATTGACAATGAAAAAAATTGAATTGATACCATTGTAACTTAGTATATAGTTAATACAACAAATAATACTTTGAACTTTAGAGGTTAACGATTATATAGATTTTTTTAAATGGTTTAATTATTAAAAACTCGAGTATGTTAATAATACTGGCCGCTGAATTATGTCCAGAAATTGAGAGAATGTGATTTTATTTCTCCGGACAAGCTATTAAATTTAACCTTTGCCCAGAGTACTATACCAACCACGCATCGGCTGCGCTCGAGCATGCATATCTCAAACCTTTTTAGGTTTTACAAACGAGACATTTATGTTTAAATAAACGCATACCAAAACCAAATGATAAATACAGATACTCGAGTAAGCGTTAAGAGCATGAATCGATTTCCAAACGATAAACGTACGAGTTAGTAAGCACGTTGTTATTATTATTATTATTAAGCGTCAAGTGTAGTTGAGTGACAATAACCATTTAAAAAAAACATAAAGAGTGTACAATAATAATAAGTTGTAAGTTGGTCTTGGAAAACAAACTCTTATGCACATTATAATATATACGTCAATGGTTCGAATAGTAATTAAAATAACTAATTCATACTTAAAAAAACAAAAGAAGGAAAACCTAGACGGCATAACTCAACAAACACATCACATACCTCATTACAATTATACTAGTTATTTACTAAAAAACAGTTTTGAAATTAGCCGTTGTCAATTAGTTAATGACTTCTAATAATAACAAATTAAATGTCAAGAGTTGAAAATCTTAGTTTATTGTAAGTCCGAACCAGGTAGATTTTTTTAGATGTAAATAAACGCAAATCGTAATAAACTCTGTTTTTTTTGTTAAATAACGAATATTTGTTGGGCTTAAACAAAAAATCTCCACTGCGCTAAGTATAGTGAAAATACAGGTATTTACTATTTACTAGGTATTCGTAATCATGCATACAACTTAACATGCAGGCCAAGCGGTAGATAAAAAAATTAATGAAAATGCAATTTGTCTGTTTAATTAACAACACACTATTCCTTGTTTTATATTATACACTACCAACGAGAATATTTTTTTTTGCTAAAGCAACACTATAATATTAATTTGTTTCCATTTTGAAATCCTTGGTTCATTTTTAATAGTTATAATTATTCGGATAAAATTACTTTTAATTGTCTACCACATACTCTACTTATATATAGATTACTACTCAGACTTCTCAGCTTTTTGACTGTATATGTTCCACCGCCCTATAACCAAACCCGTCTACCGCACAAATGCATGCACCGATGGTTCTCAATTACCTCAAACTATTTTTATTTATTTTGTAATTGCATATATTAAAATATGTATTGCAGTTAGACAGTGACAGTCCCTTCTTTTTTTATGGAAGCTAAGAAGCAATTTTCATTAGTTTTTTATACCGTTATGAAATCCAAAATTCATACTATATCGCTCAAATTAGGGCCCGCGGTTAATTAATAATGTACTGTTGCTCTCCGGTATTTTCGCACTAAACGGCTTAGCCCGTCAGGTTAACCAGAGTTGGTAACCGATCAGAGAAAGTGGATAATGATTACTTATTTCCAGGGTTATTCGGTATAACGTACTCGGGGTAAAAAGAGTTATAACGTTATTCCTAGTTAACGTTCATGAACATAATTTTGAATTAAACGAATGAATAACGGTTAACGGAACCCTGCTTATTTCCTATTTTTGGCTTGACAAACAAAACACAAGGTATTACACGCCCTTTTCCCAGTTACACGACCGTTCCGATTGGCCGCCAAAGATTTGATCGAAACGTCTGACCGTAACACACTACAGTTTACTAGTGGTGCCACCCGACGGGTCGCATAAAACGCCAAAAATATTTTATTACCGAAATGTAAAATATAAAAAAACAAGTTTCCAAATATCACTCAAACGATAAAAAAAAAATGGTTGTATTGTTTACACAATAACATATTCCAATAGTACTAAAAAAATACACACGAACAATGAAATAGTGCAAATTATCACACAGTGCGAATTCAGAAATAAATATGGGTAGAGATATAAAAATATATACATTAAAAAAAAAACCGGAACACGTGTTTTGGTAATGAAGGTTAGGGCGGGATTGCTGAAACGGGAACGGGTCGGGGGAGAGTGTACCGGCTCCCGGACAGTCCCAGTTACTATGTGCTGTGACGGTGCAGGTCTCCATGGTGACGCATGCTCGGTAAAGGGCTATCGATTTTTCTCCCCTGGAAAAAGCACACGATAAGCACCCCCGTACGACAACTGCACTGTGGTGTACGCGCCCCACAAGACTGACGGGAGTCCACCCTCGCTGTGTTCAAGGTCAGTATTTTTACAAACTCCATCCGCCGCTACACCCAGCGTTTTATAATAATAATAATACATACACACAAAGTCGACAGAAACAGTAATGCACGAGAAAAAATGATTTCAACCAACCGATAACGATAATCAGACAATGTAAAAAATATTTTTAAAACGTTTCACTCGTTGTTAATATTCGATTTCTTGCTAAAATATGATGTAAAAATATGTCGACAACGTTCAATCAAATTATTGTAACAATATACATATATATATATATATATGTGTGTGTGTGTAAAAATTTATTGTATTTTTCAATAAAATATAATTATTATAAACCGTATGATAGCAAACCATTTATGTTTCAAGAGTAAAATGTAACATTTGACAGGAATTAAATCCGATACCCTCATAAGACCAACACAGTCGTGTGGGAACCGAGAACAGTGACGTGTACTTACTTATTAACGATAACCATAAAAATATGAGTAACGAATAATTACTAAGGTTATCGACAAAAATTAAATTTTAAAAACTTTAGCTCCGAATTTACTCGATATAATCAACATACCATCCTTAAACGGTTTTAGATTAATCAAATATAATATACTATGTTGTTTATTCGAGAATAATTAATAGATTTTAATTTGTAAAAATATTTCAAACCATAATAGTAACATAGTACACTGAAAGGAAACCCGCCGTTAACAAACCGTGTGGCGATAAAAATCAGTGTATAAAAAGAGCAGACTTGAAATTCGCAATAAAAATAAAAATATTACTTTTGTTGTCAGATGTTACTAGTTAAAAGGCCAAAAGTAAACAATGAAAGTTGAAGGAAACAAACAAACAATGCGATAAATCAAAATAAAATTTTACTTAAGCTGAAATTACCATTTTATATAATACAACGCTCTAGAATTTTTATTTTTGAAACCATTAGTAAAAAAAATGAACTATTAACAAAATTTATATTGTAACTTATACACAATTAAATTGAACGCCTTTTTAAAATTTAAGGAAAAACGTTTGGCCGACAGGAGGCTGACACAAAAGAGCACCGTGTCGTTAGTATTGTAAAATAAAAAAAACTGCAATTGGGTCTCAATAGTGGCAATAATACGAATATTGTATTTTATCAATCGTTGCTTATGTTTAATTCTCATTCGATTGTGGCGGCGACAAAACAAACTTGGATCAGTGTTTTAAGTAATAAGTCACGTACTTCGTCGTCATTTGTGTATAATATAGTTTGGAAAAATATGCTCACCTTCTTTTTATACCTCCATTTTCTCAACATGCGCTCGTATTTATTGTTACAGAGAACGATCCGAAAAAAACAAACGCCGATAAGAATTATTGTTGGCGTTGCATAACAAATACAGTAATAAATAATAATAATAATAACTTGCCGGGGCGTTACATTATACACGTGAGTAATATTAGCAACTCGCATAAAAATAATACGGCACAATATAGCGATTCGCTACAAAAGGATGAACATTCTACTCAGATGAGGCGTTATCGCGTACACGACGCACGTCAGAAGCCCGTCAACTGATGTGCAAAGAGGTCAGATGATTCCCTTGGACGTACTCTCATGAATTAACTTTTTGCATTATGATCATAGGCACCATATGTTCGCCAATCATAACTACCATGATAATAATAATTATCAACTACATCGATCGACACAACCCGGACCCAATTGTTTTTTTAAATAGCAATCACTGATTATGATTTATAAATCAACCCATAATAATCCGCCAAGCGACGCCGCGTTGAGACGATTTTTCAACGAAATCCATCACCAATATATGT